TTTGCATTTGGTAAAGCTTACTATGTTTTTCCTTATTTCAGATGAAATTACAAAAGCAAAAATTTACTACATTTAACTATAATAGCAGAGGAAAATACGATACAGGAGCCTTCAAAAGTTTTTAGAAATGAACGGTTTTCAGCATTATTGCTCTGCTATATGAAGATGGCTCACACTAATTACAATATTTTTATTAAAATTGTCTTTCGTCGCAAAATAAAACGAGAAATATATAGTTAATGTAGTAGCTCACAATTCGACCTTCCTATATTTGGTCACAGGAACCGAATCAATTGAAATTGAAGCCGTTTAATAAAATATGTCACGAATATCGACATCGATATGCTAAACGGAATTCGGCATGTGTTTGAGTCATATATAATCGAATGTACATCGTCCCTAGTGTAATTTTATTTAAAGGTTAATCAAATGATATTTGGAGATAATAAATATACCACGTCTGGGTCCTTGAAATTGACAAATATAATTTTTGTTTTATCAGTTGTTCTTCGTGCGGAGCAAATAAAACCGTGTTTTATTTAAACAATGTATAGATTCTTATGAATACTTGCGAATTAGATAAAACGCGACAGACTTTGGATAATTTTATTGGCGCATCAATTGCAATACCCAATTAGTGTATTAGTATTATGTCAAAAAATGAAATGAAACGTTCTATTGGCACTTTTGAAAGTCAATATTATGTAATATTCAGTTATATAGATAAAATTATAAAAATCTAGGAAAATGTTAGTGTGTTCACCCATTTTGTGTTAACATGTTTTAACAATTGTAGAAATCACGAATGTTTATGTAAATTCGAGTTATACTATATTTAGTGAAATTGGTGCATGAAAACAATATATATTAATGGGTATTGTACCCATCAACGTTGGCCCATGAGCCCATAAGTTAAAAACCGACTCAATTCAGGAAAAAAATAAAATAGAAGTTTTTACGTTGCCATTGGTTTATTTTAATTGGAAGTTTATATTATTCATAGTGCCAAGTAAAAATTGATAAACCTGAAACTACTGAATATTATCCGATTTTCAGCTGTGTAGGATAAGACTATCTACCATAGGGGGTATTCTAGTGTAGAAATTCAAAAAAAATCGATTTTTTGTTTCATATTTTCAAAGTTTAACTATCTAAGAATATGGTTTGGCTTCACGCAAAACTTAAATGCGTTTTTCTCAGAACAGACTTTTTCAGTACTGTCGACACGATTTCTCGAGTTTTAATCGACCGATTCACTTGAAATATTCAAAGAGTCTTGTTTATAGACCTATCTATAGCCGAACTAGGATTATCTCCAAATTCTTCAAATTTTCCATTTTTACCATCTTTAAAAATTCGAGAAACTAAAAAAACACTTTTTTTCAAACAGTCGCCAATTTGTAAAAACAAATTGTTTTACTCATCGCTAGTTCGGGCGATTGCGACATCATTGTAGATTAATAATCTTTTTATTTTTTGCATTTTGGATGGCTAGGAGGGCTGAAATCATGTCAAGACTGAGGTGCCAATTTTTTGAGACCACCCCCTTCATCATCTTGCAGTTTTTACAATTTTCAACTTTTTTATTTCTTAATTTTTGTTTTGAATTTTAATAATATTAATAAACAAGTGGTAAAAAATGGATAGTAAAAACATTCATTGCTTTCTTTTACGACACTTTAAAAATGACCTAAAATTCTTCGCTCTACACTAGAATACCCCCTTAGGCTGGACCCTGGATTCTCTATGCTATCGACTATCATAAACCATAGTATAGTGCAATTTTAATACATGCAAGATTACAAACAAATAATTTAAATCGAACCACGTAAAAGCAAAAAATGTGTTCGTTTTTTTAAATGTGATGAATGGATTGTAATGACTGTAGGCTATACTAATATAAATCGAATCAAATTATATCATTGTAAGCCTCTGATGTATGTAGGTGTATATAGAATTAGCTATTGTTCCTTTCGTATGCATGACCGAGTACTTATAAAAGCACATCACGCAAATCCATATTATAAATACCTGCATTGATGTATGACGCATATCCGACATATCGATGATGAACCGATAACGAATCAAATGAAAGCTAAATATAATATTTTATTCTAGAAAACTATTTCTAACTTTTATTTTTTATAACACGACGACATACATATTTCCATAAGTATATCTACATTCGATTAGTATTAAACAATAAATAAATTCACAAAATGTTATTCATAAATGAAAATATTTTTTCTTTGAAAAATAAAATATTTCATACTTTTAATATAGTGTCTTAGTTTAAGTGATAAATATAGTGCGTTTCGAAATATTCAAAAAATAAGCCCTAATTATTTGCTGTTGCATACTCAAAAGGTCGTGTGCGATTAGTGCTTTCGGATAATTTGTGACAATCTGTTAAGTACTTTCCATCAATTTTTGAAGACAAATTTAGAAACAATATTTGAATTTCAGATATATTAGCAAGACCTAAAAAGCTCCTTAATTAGCTATACGTTTCATTAATTTTGATTGTTGATATCAATGTGGAAGTATAATA